CACAAGGAGTGAAGTTGCGTCTTCTTTTCCTCGCAGATGACGGTTCGGGTTCATTCTCTCCTGTTGCGTGGTAAGTGTGGTCCATTCGCAAACTTTATAACTAAAAAAACTTTTCACTACTCTCTATCGACGAACTACTAACACTCTCTGCTGTTTCCTCCTCCTTCTTCCTTCCTTCCGCTGTCTTCGTTGGTTCATTTATACACGCGAAATGCGTTCTCTGGCTGGCTGGATTGTCTGCTCGGTCTGCCGTACATACATGGCGGCGCAAGATGGCGATCTCTCTAAAGCAAGGCCCTTGCTATATATATATAAAAGCATAATTATAAGGCTACGAAAACCAAACGAATTTTATTTTATAGCGATCATACACTTGTATAAACATATTAATGGGTAGAATATTCAGATTAAGATTCAGATTGACAATAAACCATGCCAAATATTATACACTGGCCCTTTAACACAGCTGTTTTGAAAATTTGGGTTTTTTTAGTTATCATTTATGCATGAATGGCAGCTACAAAGAGAACATTTTATAAAACATTGCCTAAAACAGGCCGTTGAAAATAAAAATACAAAAGTACAATCATTAATACTTTCAACATTGAGGTACATTATATATTGTAAGACACATTCTGAAAATGTGATTTAAAACATCAGTAATCACATCCACAAAAAAGTGCAACTGTAACATAAAAACTGAGGTAGGTTTTAATAATAAAAAAAAAACAATAATAAAAGAAAAAAAAGGACTATTTTGGACTCACTGCCAGTCTGTAGGTATTTGCCAGGCTACTTAACCTATATAGCATGCTGCCCCACATTGATTCCAGTGTGCNAAAAAAAGGACTATTTTGGACTCACTGCCAGTCTGTAGGTATTTGCCAGGCTACTTAACCTATATAGCATGCTGCCCCACATTGATTCCAGTGTGCATTCATGAAAGACTGGATTGCATTTATTTAAAATAATAAAGAAAGAAAAATAACACAAAACAATTACACAAGTACGCCTTTCTAGCATAGACTGTAAAAAGTGGACGTAACTACCATGACATCACCCATTGGTTTGTGGACTCCCGTTTTGAAGCCACGAGTTTGGTGATTTGGCTGCCGCCATCTTGGATTTTTGGAGCCAGAAGTGACCCGCTCCTATTCTGACCTGGGGTTGCAATATGTAATGTACGTCACCCTGGTGTCACCCATTACTGATGTTTTGAATCACATTTTCAGAATGTGTTTTACAATATATAATGTACTAATATACATATAATGTTGAAAGTAGCAGTGATTGTACTTTTATATTTTTATTTTCAACGGCCTGTTTTAGGCAATGTTTTATAAAATGTTCTCTTTGTGGCTGCCATTCATGCATAAAAGATGACAACTAAAAAAAACTAATTTTCAAAAGAGCTGTGTTAAAGTGTGTTTTTGTGTTTCACTGCTGAAACATTATATTGTTATGCAATTGTTTCTTCACATTTTATCAACCTTGACCACATGTAGTGCTCATTCTAGAATGGGGAGCTGCGAAGAATAGTTAACTGTTAATAAGTGCATAATAAAGGATTTATTAAGCTTAATAAGGCACTGTTCTCGCTTTAGATCTGGTAGCTGCAAAAAAGCATAGTTGACTGTTAATAAGTGCATAGTTAACTGTTAACAAGTGCATAATAAAAGATTTATCAAGCTTAATAAGGCACTGTTCTCGCTTTAGATCCGGTAGCTGCCAAAAAAAAAAAAAACATAGTTAACTGTTAATAAGTCCATAGTTAACTATTAATAAATGCATAATAAAGTATGTTTTAATCTTAATAAAGCAACAAAAAAATCTTAGTAAAGGTTTAACAATGACATATGTAAGTTAGTTAAACTCAATAAATGTGTTTGTAATGCTATTATAAACAATTGTAAGAAAATCATAAGGCTTTTATTAACGTTCTTAAGCAGTCTATAAACCGTTAACAAGTTTCTTGTGCTTATAAATGTCTTATAATCTAACAATTAACATTTTTATAATGCTATTATTAACACTTAAATAGTCTTTTTAAACATTTAATAATGTTAATAAGCATCTTATAAGGAGTTATAAGCACCTTATTACATATTAACTAACGCTTATTACAAGAACCTTAAAATAAAGCGCTTCCAAAAAAAGTTAATACATGTTAAAAGTTACATCTTTACCGTTAACGACCTAACACCATATATTAACATATCATTTAATTTCAACAGATTCATTAACATTACTTAAGGCAGTTGTATAGTTCATACTACATCTAGAATAGAATTATATGAACCACTTACAGACAATGACGCTGCCTGGTACAATATTAAGAGATGTGGAGCTGCAGGTAAGTCCAGCACTGAGTTGTGACGTCGCGCTGATGACTGTTGGGAGTGAGGACTTATCTTTGAAGACAAGAGTCATGTCAACAACCACTGATCCCCTCCTACAATGACAGGGAGAAAAAGCAGCACTCTGAAATAGGAACTTAAGAAAAGTCAATATCCCAGCAAAAACTAATCAAGTTAGAAGTTTTGCCTTACGTGAACGTGTTGAAAATTGAGCGATTGAAGGTTGATGGATAGACCTTCTGACAAACTCTGTTGACCTAAAAGAGAATTTAGCTGTTAGTTAAATGTAATTATTGTTATAAGCAGCAATGAGGCAACTTGGCTGAATGGCAAAGCCCAGAGACTTATCCATCTGTTCATGTTAGGTTCAAGCATGGACACCTTTGAGTTTAATGAATTTAATTTTTAATTTTTTAGTGCTTGTGGATAGGTAAAGACATTGCTGCAACTGTTTGTTTTGTTGTATTGACATGATGGGTGACATGAATTGATAAAATATTTATTGTGGAAGGTGCTTTTTGGTCTAAACATTTCCACAGACTACTTCTCTGAAAAATAAAAATTTGGTTTCACTTTTAATATCTGAGATGAGTATGCTTCTTTTTGCTTTAAAATGTCTGCTATATACAAAACATTGCCTTCTTACCTCTGAGACAGCTGTCGCAGACAAATTCTTATATGCTGTGGAGGAGGAGTTGGAGAGATCTGCTGTAAATGTTTGGTTGAGAATAAACTGAAGACACAGGGTTCCCTCACTGGATGAAGGTGGGTTTGTTGATGCAGTGGTTGTAGTCTCTGCAGCTGAAGTGACTGTAACATCAGTGGAAACAGCTGCTATACTGGGAGCAGGTGCAGCAGTGGGAGCAACTGCAGTAGAGGCAGCTGCAGAACGGGGAGCAGTGGTCGGAACAGCTGTAGTAGGAAGGGTTGTGGTTGATGTTGTCAGGGTGCTAACACCTGTAATGATAAAAGACAGTGATAAAGTACAATAAGACTGTTGCAGCAGTTGGGTCACAATGGATTCCATGTAACTAGGAAAACAACTCTTACTTGTTGCAACAATGGTTGATGTATTCAGTGGAAGAGAGAAGTTAGTATTGTTGTTATACTCCTGTATCAAAGATGCTTCCACAGAACTTGTTGTTGGCACTGAGCTGACATTATTGAATATCAGTTCAGCATCTACCACAATGGAGCCTCGACTGCAAGAGGAAATATTGTTTTAGTAATTGTTGTCATTTCTATATTTTTTTTTAATTGTTAATTTTGATAATATGTAACCAAAATTATATCAAACAAATGGAATGCAATTTGCTTTAAAACCGAGGGTCATTTCAAGGATAGTCTAAATTTTCCAAACTATTTTAGTACATTACTCATGTGCCCATATGTACAGTGAAAAAGTCATTGTTTGCTATAAGTATTCCTCCTCCTCACAATACAGAGTACATTATAAAACAAATATTTCCCGTTCTCAATTATGGTTGACTGAGCCACATTCAGAGCAATTTTAAATTTCTCTTTAAACACACAGTTGTGACCGCATCACAAATTCAGTGACAACAGGATAAGTGAGAATAAAAATTGCCAGTGGTAGATAAATATGTGGTTCCAACAGACTGCAAAATAGTGAAAACTTTTTCTTTCTTTCTCTGTACTTTAGGTATACTACAGCCCATGGGGGTAAAGTTCTCTGGCCCCATGATGCCACAGCTTTGTAAAGCAGCCAGCACTTTGAACTGCGTCTGTGTGTTGCTTGGCAAGAATTCTGAAAAATATCACAAAAGAAAACTGCTTGGTGGAAGAATGTTTTTTTTTATCAATAACTTATTGCATTTTTGTTGCTGTGTGTTTATTTTATAAAAGATTGCCAGGTATATGTTTTAACCATTTTATTACTCTGCCACTTCGCTGATCTAGAATCACTGTAAACCACGGGTTATTGGTCAATTTTGGTACTGGACACAACAACTGTGAGTAACCCTTCAAATGACTAATGAACAATGCTGAAGCCTTGGCTGAACTTGGACAGTAAGAAAATTGGATTTTGGCTGGCATCTCTGAATCAGTGAGGGGGTAAGAAGGGATCACTTCAAAACTAGTATGCAAAGGAGTGAAATAAAATACTTTGAATATGCACATGGGCATGTGAACATTGTACTGAAATAAAATTTTAACGTACTCTATAACTGCAGTAGAAAGCAAAGATTAAAACGTAAAAACAAACAGAGGCACGCCATGATAACAGGCTTTCGCGGAGCTTTTCAGAATAGTATCTCAGAGTACTTCTGAAATATGCTTTTGAAAGTGTAAAAAAAAAGAGCAACACTGTGTACCTCAAAGATTTCACAACAGATCGATTGAAGAGTGCACCATATTCCTTTGTATAGAGTTCATCCAGCTGTGAATGAAAAAAAAAAAGTTACCACAAAAAAGATAGTTTCAAAGTGATCCTGGAAAATAGGAAACTTAATATGTTCAGAACAATGTTAAACGTATGAATTAATTCCTGGTGTGGTCACCCTAGGTAAGAAATTAAACTGTGATCTTAAGTCAAATTTCTTAAATGACACAACACTCAGTATACTTACAGCTGTAGTTACTCTGTTGGAGAAACTCTTGAATTGTGGTGAGGATTTGTTTAGAAGTTCTTCTGTAAAATTTTCAAAAACTTTGAATCCCAACTTCAACTTTGGCTTCTGTAGTGTCGCACCTGTTGTAATAGTTTCCAAAGCAGAACTTTTAGTTGTTCGTGCAGCAGATGTTCCAGGCACAGGAGGAGATGATGGAACATCAGTGGAAGCAATGGATGATAAAGTCTCACTGACAGATAGTGTTGCATTCATTGGGAGTAAAGTTGTCATTATTGCCATTGGAGATGTCT